TGAAATGAAAAGTATGTCGTTTGCAATTAACTTGGCATAAAATAATTTATTTGCATTTAATTGTAATGGTTCAAAGAATGTTCTGAAAAATGTTCGGCCCTCCACCATGTTCACTTCATCCAATCTGGCCCTCTTTGAAAAAAGTTTGGACACCCCTGCCTTAAAGCCTTTACCATTGTCAAGGCCGGTGCAAGGATTTTTGTCGACACTCGTAAAAGTGCACTTTGCCGCTCCCCCCCACACCATCGTCCTGACACCCTTCCCTTCACCGCATCCCCTCTCTGTCTACAGCCACGCTGGTGCTGCCTTCATAATGTTATGGGGTGCAACGTGAAGGATATCACACAGCATTGAAAATTGAAATGTGCTGAACTAACACTATGTTATGAGTATGTAATGAGGGGATTGAGTTATGCATTTCCCACTTCCCTCTGTCACAAACGTGCGCAACACACAGTTAAGGACGCAGACTCCATTTTGTTAAGAGTATCCATTTTCTCCCCTCACTCCCTCCCCCTCCCTCTCTGAGAGGAGACATTTGGCCAGCATGTGTGTGTGTGCTGGTTGTGGGTCACTGGCAAGCCAAGGCATCTCTGAGCTAGGTGCCTAGCTGTCTCGGAAAGCTGTACCATTTCACACCTCGGAAGAGATAAGGCAAGCTTTCTCCAGAGTTGAGAGAGATTCCAACCTCATAAAACTTAACTCAGGGTAGGTGACAGAATCCGGTAACCTCGGTTAAAACCATTTTTCCCCTATGTCTCATATCTTGGAATATGAGAGACTTACATAAAAACCGAACATATTGTCAGATGGACGATGAGCAGGCGAACAGTTGGGTCACTCGCCTTGTGACGGACACACAGGAAAGCAGAAAAATAGATCTCGTGAACCGTTTAGTGTACACTTTCATAATTCATATCTAATCAATCCTCAGACTTGTCTGCATAATAATATACCTGTGGGTCGAATGTCACTTGTACAGATGAAAAGTTATGGGCCATTGGTCCTTGACTGCAGAGCCACCCCCTGCTGGAAACTACAAAACAGGCTGTCAGGCCTAAGATTAAAGAAGTTGAAGAATTCTCCCATTGACCATCGTAACATAGGGAGATCAAAGCACTCTTCTGCTCTGAAACTTGGGGCTGCTAAACCAGGACTTTGGCAAGTACTTTAACCCTTTCACCTCTCTCTGATATCTCTTTGCTGTGCTGTGGTTCTTTGTATATGTATATATATATCATAGTTAATCTTTTTTCTGTAAATATTTTTATTGCACCCGTTTGACCTTTTAGTAATACATCTTTCTTTCTGAAAGTGTTGAATTGTTTCTATAGCTCTGTATTGCAATTACCGAATCCCTGCCTCTAAAGAGAACGCTACTGTGTTTGTTTAAACCTCTGTATAAACGGCCTGCGGACCGTATTATACAGACAATTATCTCAATCATTATAGTGTTATAGCTGATAATGCAGAGTTTCCTTTTTCTCTGTACAAAATGGAGGTAGTGGCAGTGTGAAGTGTTAATTGCGTAATTAACCTGACCCAGTAACAATCGCCCAGACTGCAGGTACATCGATTGTGGTCCGTTAGCTAGAAAATCGTTGTGCAGGGTGCAGCTGGGTGTGGCATTGTTACGCACGTCACATCGCGGTTTTTAGATCGGCTAGTCCTTCGGTCGCGAGTTTGGGTGAGAAGGTCTGGGGTCTGACACCGCGATCGTGACACCCTCCACTGGCTATGGACAGCTGACAGGTGAGACAAACAAACACTTCCATACTGCGCCCAGTAGGAGAGAGGGTGCAGCATTAGGGAACAGAAGAAAGGTATTTTAAAAATCCAAATCCCTCGCAAGTGGCTGGGGATTTGGATTTTACCCCTCCCCTTATCTTGGCACCCTGAGGTGGCTACCTAAGCAGCCGTATGCTGGCACCGGCCCTGACCATTGCACCACAACTGTGGGCTTTGCATGTGGTTCAGGGCAGCTGTTGTGTTGCCCAATATATTTGTATAGGTTGCATTTGGTTGGTGGTGCTCCCTGCCAAACATGCACCCCCTCGTTTGTTTGCCCGGGGGGGGGGGGGGGGGGGTTTGTACAGTTTTTGCCACGCCCGAATACAAAGCATACGTATACCCCCATACAGCGTCCTATGCAGCTCGGGGGGGGAATGTCTCTCAACTGCCTGTTTTTATGCCGACACCCAAAGTGTAAACTAGGTCTTACAAAGTTCCATAGACCAACCAGTTAAGCAAATGGGTCCATTTCTAAATGTTTTCAACCAAAATTCACATATCTTTCAAAATGAATACAATTAGAAAATTGTCAACATGGGTGAAGGTTGTGTGAATCTTGGCTGTGGGGGGAACATTCATAAATGGACCCCTAACATACTGCATGTTACGCAACTTACTTTACAGAAAATGCACAGGAAAGCTTGTTTTCTTGTGGGCGGCACTTGACACTTTCCCATGTGCTTCCAAATCTTTGTCAGGTGACATGGCTCAGGGCAGAGGAAGATTTACCTTTGTTCAGTGTCAATCCTCAGAAAAAGTTTCCCCAAGCATTGTGCACTAAACAATTTTACATGACATGCAGAATCTGGCATAGCTACCACCCAGACAGACTAACACACCAAATAGCATCAGGATTCACCTAAATAACTTGCATTTTTCAATCTTTCCCCGTTGTTATTGTTTTCCCCATGTTGTTGTAGCGCTAATAGTAAACTCAGCAACTGGAGATCCTATCTCGGTACAAAGTCAGTAACCAGAATGTAATTACTGTAAACGGATGTGGTACAAAAAGAAATATTTGCTTTTGTTTTTGCTAACTGGTAATATGAATGCAGAGAGCTTTGAAACACTAAACTTTTTCTTTAACGCATTCTTTTTTGTACGTCTTTATTCCCCTTAAATTGCAGCAGAGTGTCTTTATTTTATTTTTAAAGGAGGGGGAGAGACAGATTAAAGGAGAAGAGTTAGGGGAAGTTTATTTACACAGGTCATGATTGCACAGTGGTTTGCTAAAAACAAGGCCTTCCTAACGATGTTACCTGAGGTGACTTCCTATCTCTTGGGTTTCACAATGTTCTCTTAAAATTGTTTCCAGAACACTCTGACCCTGTAGCAGTGCTTCAAAACAGCTCTGCCACCTAGCTGGCCATTAGCGTTAGTTGGAAAAGTCTATACGTAAGCTCAAATCCTCTACTGAAAGTAGTAAGCAGGACCAGGTTGTGAGATTTTTAAAAATGGAACACCAAGTGAAGTTTCTTTCACCTGCTAGATCTCTCCTCATATTGGGTCTGTATAGATCTGCTAAGGTTACTTATTTTTAGGATATGCCCCATCGAAATGTTGACATTGATTAAACTACGTTGGAAATTCCTCCTGCCATAAGTCCTGTTAAGTGCACCTACTGCCTGCTTCATATAGTGTGTGTGTGTGTGTGTGTGTATATATATATATATATATATATACACGTATGTACAAGTGGATATAAAAAGTCTACACACTCCTGTTAAAAACTGTCAGTGATGTAAAAAATAAAGAGAAAAAGATAAATAATTTCAGAACTTTTTCCATCTTTAATATGACCTATATACAACTCAATTGAAAAACAACCTGAATGAAATCTTTTAGGAGAAAACATAAAAAAACTAAAATAATGTGGTTGCATAAGTGTGCACACCCTCTTTTAACTAGGGATGTAGCTGTGTTCCGAATTTAGCAATCACATTCAAAATAGGAATTAGTACACACCTGCCATCATTTAATCTGACTCTGATTAACCCCAAATAAAAGTCAGCTGTTCTAGTAGGTCTTTCCTGACATTTTCTTAGTCACATCCTACAGCAAAAGCCATCGTCCGCAGAGAGCTTCCAAAGCATCAGAGGGATCTCATTGTTAAAAGATATCAGTCAGGAGAAAGCTACAAAAGAATTTCCAAGGCATACCATGGAACACAGTGAAGACAGTCATCGTCAAATGTACAAAATATGGCGCAACAGTAACATTACCAAGAACTGGATGTCCAAAATTGATGAAAAGACGAGAAGAAAACTGGTCTGGGAGGCTGCCAAGAGGCCTAGAGCAACCATAAAGGAGCTGCAGGAATATCTGGCAAGTACTGGCTGTGTGGTAGATGTGACAACAATCTCCCGTATTCTTCATATGTCTGGACTGTGGGGTAGAGTGGCAAGACAGAAGCTTTTTCTTACGAAGAAAAACATCTAAGCCTGGATACATTTTGCAAAAACACATCTTAAGTCTCCCAAAAGCATGTGGGAAAATGTGTTCTGGTCTGATGAAACCAAGGTTGAACTTTGTGGCCATAATTCCAAAAGATATCTTGGAAGCATGGTGGTAGCAGCATCATGCTTTGGGGCTGTTTTTCTTCAGCAGAAACTGGGGCCTTAGTCAAGGTAGAGGGAATTATGAACAGTTCCAAATACCAGTCAATATCGGCACAAAACCTTAATACTTCTGCTAGAATGCTGAACATGAAGAGGAACTTCATCTTTTAGTATGACAAACGACCCAAAGCATACATCCAAATCAACAAAGGAATGGCTTCACCAGAAGAAGATGAAAGTTTTGGAATGGCCCAGCCAGAGTGCAGACCTGAATCCAATCAAAAATCATTTGGGTGATCTGAAGAGGGCTGTGCACAGGAGATGCCCTTGCAATCTGAAAGATTTGGAGTGTTTTTTGCAAGGAAGAGTGGGCAAATATCGCCAAGTCAAGATGTGCCATGCTGATAGACTCATACCCAAAAATACTGAGTGCTGGAATAAAATTAAAAGGTGCTTCAACAAAGTATTCGTTTAAGGGTGTGCACACTTACGCAACCGCTTTATTTTTACTTCCCTCCACCTAAAAGATTTCAGTTTGTTGTTTAACTGAGTTGTACAGTTTATAGGTCACATTAAAGGTGGAAAAAGTTCTGAAATTATTTATCTTTGTCTCATTTTTTTACATCACAGAAACCTGACATTTAACAGGGGTGTGTAGACTTTTCATATTCACTGTACACTCTATTGCCAAAGTATTGGGACACCTGCCTTTACACGCACATGAACTTTAATGGTATCTCAGTCTTAGTCCATAAGGTTCAATATTGAGTTGGCCCCCCCTTTGCAGCTATAACAGACTCAGCTCTTCTGGGAAGGCTGTCCACAAGGTTTAGGAGTGTGTCTATGGGAAAGTTGGATTCAGGTGTTCCAATCACCTTCATGGCCACAGGTGCATAAAATCAAGCCCCTAGGCATGCAGACTGCTTCTACAAATATTTGTGAAAGAATGGGTCACTCTCTGGAGTTCAGTGACTCCAAGCGTGGTCCCGTGATAGGTTGCCACCTGTACAATAAGTCCATCCGTGAAATTTCCTTGCTACTAAATATTCCACGGTCAACTGTTTGTGATATTATAACAAAGTGGAAGCAACTGGGAACAACAGAAACTCAGCCACGAAGTGATAGGCCACATAAAATGACAGAGCAGGGTCAGCGCATGCTGAAGTGCACAGAAGTCACCAACTGTCTGCAGAGTCAATAACTAAAGACCTCCAAACTTGATGTGGCCTTCAGATTAGCACAACAACAGTGCATAGAGAGCTTCATAGTATGGATTCCCATTATCAAGCAACTGCATTCAAGCCTTACATCACAGAGTGTAATTCAAAGTGCCAGGTGCAGTGGTGTAAAGCATGCCACCACTGGACTCTAGAGTGATGGATACGTGTTCTCTGAAGTGGCGAGTTACAGTTCTTTGTCTGGGAATCCGATGGATGTGTCTAGGTTTGGTGGTTGCCAGGAGAACAGTGCTTGCCTGACTGCATTGTGCTAAGTGTAAAGTTGGGTGGAGGGAGGAATATGGTATGGGGTTGTTTTTCAGGGGTTGGGCTTGGCCCCTTAGTTCCAGTGAAGGGAACTCTTAAGGCATCAGCATACCAAAGACATTTTGGACAACTTCATGCTCCCAACTTTGTGGGAACAGTTTGGGGATGGCCCCTTCCTGTTCCAACATGACTGCGCACCAGTGCACAAAGCAAGGTCCATAAAGACATGGATGAGCGAGGGGTGGAGGAACATGAGTGGCTTGATCTCAACCCAATAGAACACATTTGGGATGAATTAGAGTGGAGACTGTGAACCAGGCCTTCTCGTTCCTGACCGCGCACAAATACGCTTCTGGAAGAATGGTCAACCATTCTCATAGAAACACTCCTAAACCTTGTGGACAGCCTTCCAAGAGTTGAAGCTGTTATAGCTGCAAAGGGCGAGCCAACTCAGTTTTGAACCCTACGGACTAAGACTGGGATGCCATTAAAGTTTTAAAGTTCATGTGCCTGTAAAGGCAGGCGTCCCAATACTTTTGGTAATATAGTATGTGTGTGTGTATATACAGTGAGGAACAGAAGTATTTGAACACTCTGTGATTTTGCAAGTTCTCCCACTTAGAAATCATGGAGGGGTCTGAAATTCACATTGTAGGTGCATTCCCACTCTGAGAGACAGAATTAAGAAAAAAAATCAGGAAATCACATTGTATGATTTTTAAAGAATTTATTTGTCTTGCACTGCTGAACATAAGTATTTGAACACCTGAGAAAATCAGTGTTTATTTTTGGTACAGAAGCCTTTGTTTGCAATTACAGAGGTCAAACGTTTCCTGTAGTTCTTGACCAGGTTTGCACACACTGCAACAGGGATTTTGGCCCACTCCTCCACACAGATCTCCTCTAGATCTGTCAGGTTTTGGGGCTGTCGCTGAGCAACACGGATTTTCAGCTCCCTCCAAAGATGTTCTTTTGGATTTAGGTCTGGAGACTGGCTAGGCCACTCCAGAACCTTGATATGCTTCTTACGGAGCCACTCCTTGGTTATCCTGGCTGTGTGCTTTGGCTCGTTGTCATGTTGGAAGACCCAGCCACGACCCATCTTCAATGCTCTGACTGAGGCAAGGAGGTTGTTGCTCAAAATCTCACAATAAATGGCCCCATTCATCCTCTCCTTAAAACAGTGCAGTAGTCCTGTCTCCTTCGCAGAAAAGCACCCCCAAAGCATGATGTTACCACCCCCATGCTTCACTGTAGGGATGGTGTTCTTGGGATGCAACTCATCCTTCTTTTTCCTCCAAACACGATGAGTGAAGTTTAGTCCAAAAAGTTCTACTTTGGTTTCATCTGACCACATGACTTTCTCCCATGCCTCCTCTGGATCATCCAGATGGTCATTGGCAAACTTCAGACGGGCCTGGACATGTGATGACTTGAGCAGGGGAACCTTCCATGCAATGCATGATTTGAAACCATAACGGCGTAGTGTTCTACTGACAGTGACCTTTGAAACTGTGGTCCCAGCTCTTTTCATGTCATTGACCAGCTCCTCCGTTGTAGTTCTGGGCTGATTCCTCACCTTTCTTATCATCAGTGATACCCCACGAGGTGAGATCTTGCATTGAGCCCCAGTCCGAGGGAGACTGACCGTCGTCTTTAGCCTCTTCCTTTTTCTAACAATTGCTCCACCAGTTGATCTTTTTTCACCAAGCTACTTGGCAATTGCCCCGTAGCCCTTTCCAGCCTTGTGGAGGTCCACAATTTTGTCTCTGGTGTCTTTTGACAGCTCTTTGGTCTTGCCCATAGTAGCAGTTGGCGTCTGACTGAGTGTGGGGTGGACAGGTAACTTTAAAGAGCTCAGACAGGTGCTACTAAGTTAGATTAATGAGTGGAGTAGAGGTGGACTTTTTAAAGGCACAGTAACAGATCTTTGAGAGACAGAATTCTTGCTGTTTCTTAGGTGTTCAAATACTTATGTTCAGCAGTGCAAGACAAATAAATTCTTTAAAAATCATACAATGTGATTTCCTGATTTTTTTTTTATAAATTCTGTCTCTCAGAGTGGGAATGCGCCTACAATGTGAATTTCAGACCCCTTCATGATTTCAGGGTGTTCAAATACTTCTGTTCCTCACGGTATATATATATACATATATATATATATATATATATATATATATATATATATATATATATATATATATATATATCATGGCCGAAATTGTTGGCACCCTTGATATTTCTCCAGGAAATCATGTATTTCACACAAACGTATTGCATTATGTTTTGCTATACACATGTTTATTCCCTTTGTGTGTATTGGGACAAAACAAAAAAAGGGAGGAAAGAAAGCAAATTCGACATAATGTCACACAAACCTTGGGCTGGACACACCCTTTCACAACTGCGGAAAATATTGAATGTTCAGGTGTGATGCCAATAAACTCACCTGGGGCACAGGTGTGGGCAATATAAAATCACACCTGAAAGCAGATAAAAAGGAGAGACGTTCACTTAACCTTTGCATTGTGTGTCTGTCTGTGCCACACTAAGCATGGACAACAGAAAGAGGAGACGAGAACTGTCTGAGGACCTGAGAACCAAAATTGTGGCAAAATATCAACAATCTCAAGTTACAAGTCCATCTCCAGAGAACTAGATTTGCCTTTGTCCACAGTGCCAACATTATCAAGAAGTTTGCAACCATGGCACTGTAGCTAATCTCCCTGGTCGTGGACGGATGAGGAAAATTGATGAAAGATTGCAACGCAGAATAGTCCGGATGGTGGATAAGCAGCAAACATGTTCCAAAGACATTCAAGCTGTCCTGCAGGCTCAGGGAGCATCAGTGTCAGCGCGAACTATCAGTCGACATTTAAATGAAATGAAACAGGAGACCCAGGAGGACCCCACTGCTGACACAGAGACATAAAAAAGCAAGACTACAGTTTGCCAAAATGTACTTGAGTAAGCCAAAAGCCTTCTGGGAAAACGTCTTGTGGACAGATGAGACCAATATAGAGCTTTTCGGTAAAGCACATCATTCTACTGTTTACCGAAAACGGAATGAGGCCTACAAAGAACAAAACACAGTACCTACGGTAAAATATGGTGGAAAGTTGCACACTGGGTGCCTTGACTGTGTGCAAGGCATCATGAAATCTGAGGATTACCAAAGGATTTTGGGTCGCACTGTAGGGCCCAGTGGTCAGAAAGCTGGGTTTGCGTCCAAGATCCTGGGTCTTCCAGCAGGACAATGACCAAACATACGTCAAAAAGCACTCAGAAATGGATGGCAAAGAAGCGCTGGAGAGTTCTGAAGTGGCCAGCAATGAGCCCAGATCTAAATCCCATTGAACACCTGTGGAGATCTTAAAATTGTGTTGGGAAAAGGTGTCCTTCCAATAAGAGAGACCTGGAGCTGTTTGCAAAGGAAGAGTGAGAGGTGTCAGAAGCTTATTGGACTGATTTCAGTTATGTTTTCCAAAGGGTGTGCAACCAAATATTAAGTTAAGGGTGCCAATACTTTTGTCCAGCCCATTTTTGGGGTTTTGTGTGACATTATGTCATATTTGCTTTTCTGACCCCTTTTTATGATTTCAGGGTGTTACAAATATAAACATGTGTATCCTCACATGTGTTAATAATACCTTTTTTGTGTGAAATACTTGATTTTCAGGAAAAATATCAAGGGTGCCAACAATATATATATATGACTGTATATATATATATATATATATATATATATATATATATACACACACACTATATTGCCAACAGTATTGGGACACCCCTCCAAATCATTGGATTCAGGTGTTCCAATCACCTCCATGGCCACAGGTGTATAAAATCTTGCACCTAGGCATGCAGACTGCTTCTACACACATTTGTGAAAGAATGGGTCACTCTCAGGAGCTCAGTAAATTCAAGTGTGGTACCATGATAGGTTGCCACCTGTACAATAAGTCCATCCATGAAATTTCCTTGCTACTAAATATTCCAAAGTCAACTGCTAGTGATATTATAACAAAGTGGAAGCAACTGGGAACAACAGCAATGTAAACTGACAGAGCGGGGTCAGCGGATGCTGAAGTGCACAGAAGTCGCCAACTGTCTGCAGAGTCAATAGCCAAAGACCTCCAAACTTTGCGTGGCCTTCAGATAATACAACAACATTGAGAGCTTCATGGAATGGGTTTCCATGGCCAAGCAGCTACATCCAAGCCTAACATCACCAAGTGCATTGCAAAGCGTCAGATGCAGTGGTGTAAAGTATGCCGCCACTAGACTCCAGAGCAGTGGAGATGTGTTCTCTAGAGTGACAAATCACGCTTCTCTGTCTGACAATCCAATGGAGGTGTGTGGGTTTGTCGGTTGCTAGGAGAACGGTACTTCCCTGACTGCATTGTGACAAGTGTAAAGCTTGGTGGAGGGGGGATTATGGTGTGGGGTTGTTGCCACCACTGGACTCTAGAGCAATGGATACGTGTTCTCTGAAGTGGCAAATTACACTTCTCTGTCTGGGAATCCGATGGATGTGTCTGGGTTTGGTGGTTGTCATGAGAACAGTGCTTGCCTGACTGCATTGTGCTAAGTGTAAAGTTGGGTGGAGGGAGGAATATGGTATGGGGTTGTTTTTCAGGGGTTGGGCTTTGCCCCTTAGTTCCAGTGAAGGGAAATCTTAAGGCATCAGCATACCAAGACATTTTGGACA